CAGTTCTCGGCGCGCCCCCGGCGGCCGGGCCGCAGCGTGCTCGCCCCCGCCGCCAGCTCGCCTCACTTATGGGTCGGAAGCGCTGCGTGGGGGAGATTGTTCCAAGATGGCGGCGGGTTGCTGCGGGGTGAAGAAGCAGAAACTGTCCAGTTCGCCCCCCTCCGGCTCGGGTGGCGGTGGTGGCGCCTCCTCCTCCTCCCACTGCAGCGGAGAGAGCCAGTGCCGAGCAGGGGAGCTGGGACTAGGAGGCGCCGGTCCGCGGCTCAACGGGCTGGGAGGGCTGACCGGAGGAGGTAGCGGCAGCGGCTGTACCCTCTCTCCCCCTCAGGGCTGCGGCGGCGGCGGCGGGGGGATTTCCCTGTCGCCACCTCCGAGCTGCGGAGTGGGGACCCTACTTTCTACTCCGGCCACCGCCACCTCTTCCTCACCCTGCTCTTCGTCCGCCGCCTCGTCCTTATTGCCCGGTTCCCGGAAGATGGTGGTGTCAGCGGAGATGTGCTGCTTTTGCTTCGATGTGCTCTACTGTCACCTGTACGGATACCAGCAGCCCCGGACCCCCCGGTTCACCAACGAGCCCTAGTGAGTACCGTGCCCTCCGCCGCCCTCTCTCTTGCGCTTGGGATGGGGCTGAGAGTTGAGGCAAAGTGCGAGTCTCCTCCCCGCCCGCGGCTGCCCGGTCCCCGGAGCCACTCGCCCGAAGGGCACCCCGCGCTTTCTGCCCTCTGAGGGAAACACTCCGCGCTTGGAGAGGGGTGCTGCTGCAAGGGATGGCCCATTGGCTCCCAGAGGGGTTTGCTTTCTCTTTGCCATAACTTCGAGGAGTTTTTGACCCTTTTCCTCTCTCCTTCGCCACCCCCCGCCCTAGTCTTGGCGATCTGGATGACTCAAGGTGTTGACCTCACCTCACTTTGGTTTCCATGACCCCTTGTGAAAGCCCCGCCAGGATTCCCGCCCCGCGTACCTTGCGCGTGGAGAGCTACTATCCCATTGCAGGGTGAAAAATAGCAACTATCCAACTTCTGTTCTGCTAGTGATGGAACTTAGCTCCGGAGCTTGCAAGAAGGTTGCCCATCTCTGCCAATGGAGAGGGGAGATTTTTTAAAACACACTTTTCCCGTACTACCTATTTTTATCCGAGCCTACTCATTAAAATGTGTTTCTAGTGAAGCGCACCGCCGGCTCTCACGTTTGAAGAGTGCGACTTTTTTTTTTTAATTCCACCGTCTGAGAAATAGCTCATTCAAAGTGAGAGCTGTCCCCATAGAGGCACTGTCAGTTTGTACATTAAGCGTGCATTCGCTTTTGTGTCGACTGCACTTTGAAGAAATCTGTGTTATGCTCGACTATTTGAGAACTATTTTAACATTCCCAACAGTGAATGTGTAGGAATTTTTATGGTTTCCTTTGATTTTGTACTTTTAATTATTTTACCCTTCATGTATGTGATTGAAATTGTTTAAAATAGCACGGTTACAGCTAAAAGCCAGGTTAATTCTAATCCCTGTCCATTTGGATGTGTAGGAGGTGGGGCATATGGTTTTTTTTTTTTTAATGTGTAAACTGAGTGTAAACTGACTTTTTGAGTTAAATGCTAGACAGAATGTAAAGAGCAAGTAAGGGCAGGATGAGAAAGAGAGCGATTGTTTTTATTATGAGGACTTAGCATCCACAAGAAAAATAATAGAGAAAAATTGCAGTGAACCTCGTACTGAAAAGCATCAGCCCTTTTCCTAGCTAAGACAAGTGTCCCTTGTCCCCCATACCATAAATACCTGAATTGATGTTCTTTTTAAACTGCTTCTTTCATTTTGTGAGATTAGGGGATTGGACTACTACTGCATACATATAAACACTTCTGTCTAGTCTAAAAATATTACTTTAATATGTAAAGTGGAAATTGCAATAAAGTGTCCTGGAAATTGTAAATTCGTATCGTTTGTTTTCTTTGGCTTTGATAATTTAAAATGTATTTAATCTTGTATGACTCCTCTGTGGTCTACGCATTTTCTTTCGACATGATTTATCTTTGGGCATTGGTTCATGAGATATATATATGAAAGGGCATACAGGTTTGTCAGATAAATTCAGTATCTTTATAAATTTCATAGTTCTCACTTTAGGAGCTTAAATATTAAGTCCATACCTTTAGTTAGCCAATTTATTTTGTGGTTCTCCAGAAGTAAAATTTATTTTGAAAAGACTGCCATGTAAAAATCTATTAAATATTTATTAGCTTGAGTCACTTATTTGTGACTTTTCTGCCTTCTCTTAGATTCCTATGATGCATTAAAACCAGTTCTGGGATGATACTTAGGTTGGCTCTACAAAGTCATGGGACTGCAAAAATTCACTCCCGTTTAGTTCTTGAGCTGTTACATGAGTTTGGCAAAGGCTGTTTTAGTATTCACGCTCCATTGCTCCAAAGCATATGAGAACACGCTTTCAGGAGGTGCTATTTTCACACATTTTAAAGTGAGTTTGGGTTAACTGAATGAATATAACAAGAATTTTAAAAGGAAAAGCGAGCTTGACCAGTTCATACAGAAAATGCTTTTGAAAATGTTATTTAACAGTGGCTATTTTGCACATGTATTTAGGTATTGTTTCTTTTCCAACACCCTAGCCACTGGATTTCTTTTTCATGTATTTAACTGGAATTAAACAGATAAATAAGACACACTTTTGACCACTGTAGATACGTTGAAATGGTGGTAGAAGAATAATAATTATTATCATCCAGCAGGCCTTGAATGTGTCATGTATTCTATAAAACAGCTAATTTAGAGTAGACACTGAACATGACTAAGGGAGAGAATGAAAGTTCACTTAAGTGAGAAGAGAACTGCAGTTGAAAGAAGTTTTATTTTCATTTGTCTTAAAGCCATTTTTGAGTGCACTGTGGAAATTTCAGGGAAAATTCTTAGAAGTGATGTTTGATTATGGCAGTGAATTAACTCATCATTTGACAGTGTCTTAGTAATCCACCACATGTTTTTCTTTCTATTTTAAATATTTAATAGTATTGTGTACTTATTAGAGTGTCTTTATGCAGTGTGCCACAAAACATAAATAGACATGTATCATGTAATGAGCAACAGTGTTTCAAGTCCTGTCTCTCTCCAGAAGATGTGCTTTTGACAGTTCTCAGGTATAAAAGCACACCATTTCATCCCTTTCTAAGATCTTTCTGTCAGAATGTCTGCAATTGGTGAAATGTGCCTTTTTCAGGTTTAGGAGTTCTAGATTCATAAGTTACCCTTCCACTCTGAAAGGTTATTAGCAATATCAGTCAATCTATTTATTTCAGGTTTTGGAGGGGAGGTCGAAATATGACCAGGCTGCGTGGGTAAAAATTCTTTGCTGTTACTTCTGTCTTTTGGAGCCCTTACCCTACTGCAGAGAGGTAGCAATAGCTAGAGCTATGGAGGAAGGTGGAAACTTGTCTAATGGAAGACAGTTAACTTTTGTGTTGAAAGTTAGGAATGCATTGCTAAGGCCTTGGTCTCAGTTGTACAGGCTCTTTTGCCCACAGATATAACGTTCAAGACATGCTAAAAACATAACTTTAGGTGCACTTTAATAACCAGAGCCAGAGCTCTTGCATTTATATTCGAGGGAGCTAAGATAGCCATTTTATACGAAACTGTTACTATAAAGGGAGCACCTATGCCAGGTGTTGAGCCAATTAAACTCTAGAGCAGTGGTTCTCAACCTTAACTGCACATTGGAGTCACTGGAGAGTTATTAAAAATACATATGCCTGGGTCCCGCCATCAGAGATTCTGATTAAATTGGGCCAGGGCATCAGGATTATTAAAAGTTTCCCAGTGATTTTAATGTGCAGCTGAGGTTGAGAATCACAGTTTATATTCGTTAGGCCTTTCTCCTGAGATCCTGATGAATTTGGTGTGTGATGGGACTTTGGCATCCGTATTTTATGAGCACCATAGGTAATTTTGGTAAACAACCAGTTTGGAAAACAATTGCAGTGTGGTCTGCAGAAAACTTCACCTGGAAACTTGTCAGAAATGTAGGCTTTCAGAGGCCCCACCTCAGAGCTGCTGAATTAGAATCTGCATTTTAACAAGCTCCCCCCAGGTAATTCTTATGCACATTAAAGTTTGGGGAGCACTGATTCTCAAACTTTAGTTATCATAATCTCCTGTAGTGCTTGTTAAAACACAAATTGCTGGGCCCCATTCCCAGAGTTTCTGATTCAGTCAGGCTGGGGTGGGGCTGTGAATTTACATTTCTAACAAGTTCCTTGGTGATGCTGATGCTACAGTTCCTAGGACCACGTATTCAGAAGCACTGGGCAGAGAGTAGTGAAGACTTGATTAAGTACTTGAGCCGCTGTAAGGAAATGGCAGTTTTCACTGTCAGCTTCCAGTATAAAACTTGCTGCTTCTATGTCACTATCCTTTATCATGTTTTCTCTAACTTAGCACCAGGGAGATTGACTGCTGGCAAGAGCATAAAAGTCTGAGGTTCTTGGGATGGTTTTACTCCAAGTACAGGGACGGGAGTGACTTTTGGCAACCTTACGTATGATTTTAGGTCCTTTTTCAGAAGTTGTTAATTGCGAGGGACACATTTTAGGTGTTAAAAACAAAACAAAGATGACATATTAAAGTGAGTTGTATTGATTTTCATAAGTAAAGCCCCCTTCTTTTACCATAAAAAACGCTTTTATGATTAGTTCACTAAATAACATGTTGCGATAAGATTTTAAAAGCATTACTTAGACTTATGCTTGCTGGATTGCATTTTAAGAAATTTCCCTTATTAACAAATAAATATAAAAGGATCCTGCTAAGGCACTGGGATTGTTCAGTCTCATATCTTCAGTGCTGTGTGGGGTGCCTCGTCCCATGAACTTTTTATTTTAATCATCTTACCACCTTTGAAGTTAATGTAATACTACATTTTGTACTGAGCATAAACACATATAAGATACTTAAACATCAGTAAGTGTGGTTTTTCCATTGAGATTAATAAAAAGTATTTTTAAAAATTCACTCCTGGACTTGCAGATTTTGAGAGACTCAGATCAGGTGTTTGAACAGTTAACTCATTCTTGTCTTGCCACAGTAGTCAAATTACTATTTTTCAGTGTGCTTGGGAGGACTTGGGTTGTGCTAGGGCGATGAGATGGGCACTTTGTTTCACCAGACCAGTAACAATCTTACTGCATGTTAGTAAAAAAGATGGTTTGATAATGCAGCTCAGGTCAAAGTGATATTAAATCAGCATTTGAAACACAAACTATTAGATTTCTACTATGTCTTTTTTGATGAAGACTGATTAGAATAGCCAGAAGGTATATCTGTCTATTGCAGATGGTGCTACTAGGCCATTACAGATTTCCTTATTCACCCTAATAGAAAGGTACTGATTTCCATTCTCTGGCCATAATGTATAGTTTTACCCAGAGCCATGTAGTCAATTCTAACTTATAGCGACCCAATAGGACAGAATAGAACTGCCCCGTAGTGTTTCTAAGGCTGTAAATCTTTACGGGCATAGACTGCCACATCTTTCTCCTGTGGAGCGGCTGGCGGGTTCGAACCATTGACATT